AGAAGCAAGGTGGTTCTGAAGGCGGAGGGTGTCTTCTATGCCACAAAAAAAAAAAAGCAAGGTGGTTCTGAATGCAGAGGGTGTCTTCTATGGCACAACAAATCAAGGAGGTTCTGAAGGTGAAGGGTTTCCTCTATGCCACAAAAAAGCAAGGCGGTTCTGAAGGCAGAGGGTGTCTTCTATGGCACAAAGAAGCAAGGTGGTTCTGAAGGCAGAGTGTTTCTTCTATGGCACAAAGAAGCAAGGTGGTTCTGAAGGCGGAGGGTGTCTTTTATGGCTCAAAGAAGCAAGGTGGTTCTGAATGCAGAGGGTGTCTTCTATGCCACAAAGAAACAAGGCGATTCTGAAGGCGGATAATATCTTACCTGGTACACGCAAAGTGGACCTAATAAAGTGGCCAGCACATCAAGTACACAAGAAGAAAAAGGGAATTGGGAGTTTTTAAAATGTGCGTAAGCTTTCAGTGTCTGCTTCACGCCTGCTGTCCGGGCTCTGGCGTATTTTTGTGGTCGTGTTACAGCGCCACATACAAGCCTGGCCTGAGTTACTGCAGCACTTCAAATTGTTTCTGTGGTTCTGTGTGGATGAAAACCTTTTGTTCCTGTGTGGACAAGTCCAGAGACAAACTGTAGTGAGTTGATCTGTACGCATCGTCAAATGAATGACTTCGTACCTATCTGTTCCTCTGTGGAACACTTATTTGTGATGTTCTATGTTCTGTAACATTTGTGTTTTGAGTGTTCTAAGGTCATTTCTCATTTTTAATACTTCCTCGTAACACTTTCCATGAATCTTGCGAGTGGTTTGAATGCATAGACGTGCCTTCTATGCCTGTGTGAATGGAAACGGCAGTGCTCTTTAGTTCCAGTGCCATCCAAGAACCTAAAACTAGTAAACCTTTTAACATGAACACCCAGAACAATAAAAGGACAATGAAAAGAGGATCACAAAGCAAACAAACTATATTTTTAACTTGTATATTGTACATGAGCACCAGATAGAAGAGAATGTACTTATTAAAACATATCTACTTGCCAATAAAATATACTGTCTGTATATTCCTCCAGCTTTCTCCCTGTGACACAGGGGGGACCTCTTGTAAAGTTTAAGAGGTGTATTGTATGACTTTTAATGCAGTTAACCGTGTTAACTTCCTCTGTAACAATAAATGGCTGCTCATGCCTCATTAACTCACCGTCTCTTGTTTTCTGTTTCAGGTTTCTTGTTCTTATAGAACGTTCAGTTAGTCGAAGCTCTGAACTTTACAGGAAATTATAAATTATTACAAATATAAAATAATAGAGAAAAAACATTTTAAACATCTGTTTTATATTAATTTCACACGTGTATTTGTGTGTGTAAACCGGTATGGATATATCCATCCATCCAGTATCTTTTAACCGCTTCTTCAATTTTGTGTCATGGCGGTCACCGGTACCTATATCCGGCAATCACTGTGCGAGGAGCGGGGGTATATATATA